ATCCCTAGGTCTCCGCATCCTACCTCATCCTACTGGCTTCCGGTCTGTCCTTGGTAGCTAGTCATCAGGCTTTCCCTGAGCTCCAGGAAGCTGAGGTCTTTGAGGTGGTCTTTCTCCTGCTAGCTCTCTCCTTACAGGTGAGAGACGGGAGCTCTGGCTCACCTCAACTCCACTCCTCTTTAGAACGAAGCTGTGGGTGCCTGAGAATCCAGAACTCCCTAGAATATGGTTCCAAGACTCCCTCTAAAGCTGTTGAGGATTCTCCCCTTCGTTTGGCCTCCTAGAGGTAAGCTATGTTGCCTCCATTTATCCCAAGGGGGATAGAGTCAAAGTGCAATGGGAAGGGAGCAAGTGTCAGCCCCGGGCAAGCCATGCGCAGACCATTGTGTTCCCGAGCAAAACAGGAGATTTTGAGATCCAAAGCTGCTCTCACCGGGTGCCATAGAAGCTGTATTCATGAAGAAGGAGGAGAATACTTCGATTTAGATATACAGTCTGCAGGTCCTTGTTTGTACTTTTAAAAAAGACATTATGGGGGCTGTCGCGATGGCTCAGCACTTAAGAACATTCACTGCTCCTGCAGAACCTGGGTTTGGTTCTCAGCACCCACTTGGTGGCTCACAACCATCCTTTATCTCCAATTTCAGGGGACCTGATGCACCAAACAGGCACATGGTACACATATATTTACACAAGAAAGCTAGCTTGCTCCCACCTTCCCTGGAAAGATACAGTTTAAGTGCATGCAAGCGGTTTAGCAACTGCGCTATCTCCCCAGCCCCTAACATCATATTTAAAAACACCTTTGAAGCATGCTTTGTCTTTTTCCTCAGCTTTGGGGAGGTCTTTCAGTTTTACACTAAGACAAGCTCTCACCTATCCAGTCCTGGTTCTTCCTGCCTCTTTAAGGGTCCTCTCTCCCTTTCTTCTGTATAAGCTGGTGAGCCCTTTGTCCTGCTTTCAATCCACCCAGCATCCAGTCCCTGCTCTGTCTTCCTGGAGCAGAGGCCATGCTGTGCCCCGCCTCCCCCCACACCCTTCATAGCTTTGTTCTTAATGGTGTGCAAACACCTCCGTCCACATCCTCCCCTCCCCCAGTCCTTTGGCAAAGCAGCCCGATGTTCCCACTGCCAAGCATCTGGGCCCCTGGACCTCTCATGGAGTCTCCTCTCCTTGCTCCTCTTCAGCATGGAGTCTGATTAGCCTGCAGGGATCATCCTCCAGCTACAAGGGGAAGCCATCGCTCCAGCAGCAGTTTGGCAGCCCCTCAGGGTTAGACGTCTGCCTCAGCATTAGGGGTCTGCAGACCTCTCGCCCCTGTTTTCCTCCCGTCAGCTCACTAGAAAACCCCAAGTGCCCTGTAATCTACCGTTACCCAGGACTGGACAGCAGCGCTGTACCAGCCCCAGCCCCTCAAGCTTTCAGCCCTTCTCTTGTCCCTCATTGACATGTGGTTCACTCCACAGCCTCTGCCTCTGGTCTGTCCTCACAGGGCGTTCCTCCAGTTATTGGCTAACCCAGGGGCCTCAGACTGGATTGAGAATAGAACTCTCTTCTGGCTTATTCCCCAGGGCCACACAGAACAAACTCTGAGGCTGTCTCTCTATCCCACATCCTCCGAGTGGCCTGCTCGGGACTGTTGACAGACGGGGATACCCAAGGACAGTGTTCTGCTGCTTTCTCATCTATCCCCATCCCCCATCTTCTGTGAGAAACTAGGCAGGGAAGTGAGGTTAGAACGCTGGCCAGACTCACAGACTGCTCTCCAGAGTTCAGCCCGGGGCAGCCCAGGAAAGGTCTGGGTTTCAATGTCTTCTCCAGAACTCACGTGGAAATGTAGCTGCCGTTCTGGACAGGGCTGAGAGGAGGGACTGTAAGAGCCAAATGTTAACCTGTAAGTCCCTCTTGCCCAGGGACAAGATAACTTTCTGGAATGCTGGGAGCTGTGGCTCCTGGGATGTAACAAGCCACATGTGTTCACTCCCCTGAACAGTTTGCCTGAACTAACGACACCAGACGCGCTTGACCAATCTAGGTGGGAGGTACATAAGCCGGGAACACATCAGGATGTATGATTGTCTCTGATTAGATCTGATTGGAAACGAAATGCATTATGGGTTTTGCCTTTTTAAACTCCTGCAAAACATGACTCAAGGCCTTTCCCTGGGAACCCAGGGGTGGGCCTGGCCAGAGTCTGTCTTCCCAGCCAGAATTTGATGAAAGCCTGGCAGATTTTGTCTCCCACCAGCAGGCCCCCTGCTGACAGACTGGCTCAACAAGTTCAAGGCCTGATCAGCACACGTCACACCACAGTTTCAGGCCAGTCAACCATCCTGTTTTCAATCTGACCAACCCTGAAGTAGGGGAATGAAACTCTTCGACGGCTTTAAAACTTCCCAGGCCTTGAGAAGAGACTGGGTTGCTGCTTTCCCAGCCCCGTGCTGACGATCTGTTTCTGTGTGTGTCTGCTCTGTGCCTGTTTCCTCACCCCCAATAAATGCCGTCCCTAACTGTTCATTGGGTTGGCTGTGCTTGAGACTGCCTTTTAATTCTTCAACCGGCAGAGAAAATGAACCCCATCAAGACCCCCTAGGCTGTACCATTACTGGGCTGTATCACTCCTGTCACAAGAACAAATTGATCACCACAGGATTACATTTCTGATAAAAGCGTGAATCCGGCCTCGCTTCCTCTCTCTCATGTGTCCATTTGTCCATCCACCATGTCTGGTGCTGGGGAAGAGTCTCACCACATGCTGGTGCCGTGCTCTTGATCTTCCCATCTCAAGAACCATAAGCCAACTAGCCTTATTTTGTTTAGAGAGTATTCTCTCACAGCTGTAGAAAACAAGCTAACACATTTAGGAAGAGATGGCTTCACTGTCTCCCCCCAATCTGGCCTCAGTCCCCTGTGGACCACAAGAGAGTGGAAGACTTGTTTGAATGTTAGGTTCAATTTTGCTTTCGTCTGAAAACTAATTTGGACCCATAGTTCTTCCGTGTTGAGTAGCATAGCTTCACCAGGCTTCAAACCACCGCTTTCCAAATTCACAGCCAGCCGGGACAGCTAGGGGTTAAGCTGGAGGGTAAGCAGCCCCGTCCCCAGTGCCTTAACCGGAGCTACAGTAAGAGAAGCAGCCATTCCCCTCCACTGCACTGTGCTTTGCGTCTTGTCTGTCTTGTCCGTGGCTAGCACAGGTCTTTGCCCATCGGTTTATTTGCTGTGTCTTCACAGCTGAGTGTTTGGTGGGCAGCGCCGGAGAAGACCTCCAGAACTGCCTGGAACTGTGACTGTTTTTCCACAGCTGATAACTGCCCATCGTTAAACTCTCACGGCCCACCCAAACAGCAGAGCTACTCATTTCCCAATTCTGCTTCGACAAATAACCAGAAACTTGGCAGTTTAAAACAACAGGAAGTTGTTCTCTCCTAGTTCTGGATTCCAGAATCTGCAACGTGACAGTGAGCTGTAGCACCCACTGTTGGTCCTTCCAAAGGCTCTGAGGCGGCAGCGGTGTCTCTTCCAGCTTCTGGTTACTGCTCATGAGCCTTGGCTTGCAGGTGCATCATTCCAACCCCTGCCTCTGCCCTTGTCTTTTGTGTCTACAGCTGTGTCCACACTTCCTTCTTCTAATAAGGACATCAGTCATTGGGTCAAAGTTCATCCTGAGGCAGCATGACCCTGCACTACCTTGATTACATCTGCAAAGACCCTAGTTCCAAATATGTCACCAGGGCCTAAAGTTTGAACTCTATCATATTGGGGGGGGGATACTAATAATCCCGAAATAGTAGGTATTGTTCCAATCCTCATGTAACAAAAATTATCTGCTTATACTTATCACTTATTGAATCCTCACCTATGACAGGTACCCTGCTGGGTGCTTCCTGTTTACTCCTAATCCCCATGTTAGCTGCTTACCCAGGTCACACAGCTAGAAATAGCCGGTGTGGGGTTGGATGGAAAGTCCTGGCCTGAAATTCTGCCCAGGTCTACACAGCAGAATGTCTCTGGGAAGGCCCGCCCTCCTTCCCTCACATCTGTTAACCTCAAGGTGGCATCACATTCTGCCTGCCTGTGGCGATCATGACTGGGATTGTTACCAGAATGCTCCAAGTGCGGGAAGTCAGTACAGCAGCTGGATGTCTCACAGTGGGTGACGCCCTGAGAAACGCTTGTGTTTCTCCTCCTTCCAGCAAATCAAGCCGAGGAAGGAACACCCCTGCCTGTACAGTTTGAGAAGCTCAGCCTGGGCGCAGGAGTGCTAGGCAATATGATACCTAAGTGCCATGGAGAACCAATCAGCCTGAAGATATTCCAGGAAGGGGGAGAGAAAGTATGCAGGAGAGAGAAGAGAACCCATTTCAGGAAGCTGTGTAACAGTGAAAAGCATTTCACCAGTTCCGTGCGCCACTGAACTTGGTCCTTAGTGTTTATGTACAAAGTGACCCCCCAGGCTCATGTGTTTGAACGCTTGGTCCTTACCTGGGAAGTTTGGGGCCTTGAGGCCAGCATGGCTGGCAGAGGTGTATCACTGGCATTAGCCTCTGGAGGTCTAGCCCAGCCTTGGCTCTGGCCTAGCTCTCTGCTTCCTGCCTGTGTTGTGTGAAGGACTCTGTGCCATGCGCTCCTCTGTTAGCCCTGCTGTCCCTTCCTCTCCACCAGGCTGAGACCGTCAGGGTGAATAAGCCTTTCCTCCCTGTGACGGCTCTGGCAGGTATCCTGTCAAGTTTCGAGAAAAGCCACCCCTATGCAGCTTAATGAATGCCTCGACTTAGGGCGAATGACTGAGAGCACACACAAGTAGTGACATACTACTGGCCCCAGCACTCAGGACATAGAGACAGGGGGCAAGTTGAAGGTTATCCAAGGCTTCATAAGAAGAATTTTCTTTATTTTGTCTCACAAAATAATAATAATAATACAATAATAAAATAAGTGAAAATAATATTTTATCCAAACTTACTTGTTTTTTTTTTTTTTTTTTTTTTTTTCAAAAAACTCCATTCTTTTCAGATTACAAAAAGACAAAAAGTACAAGTCGAATGCGACCTAGGCTGGCCTCGAATTTTCCATGTTAGTGCAGAGAGTCTTAATTTTAACTCTGCCTCTGCTTCCTAAATGCGGGGATTACATGTTCGTGTCACCATGCTCATCTTTCAGAGTCTGTGTTCTGTTTTTGTATGCCCGGGAAGCTAGATCATGAAAAGCTAGAATGGAGCTGTGGTCTCTGACTCCCTTGGTTTAGCACAGACTATCAGGACTAGCATGGGACTGAGATGGCAAAGGGTGATCTCATGAAACTAACTCATCAAACAGCGCCATCTAGAGGCAGCTGCTCCAAATGACAGCTCCCCTGGACCTCCGTGGGCAGCTGAAGCAGTCATCCAGAAAGGACCGGAAGGGTAGAGTTGGCATGTATTCGAGGCAAGCCATGGAGCGAATAAAACCGGAGACCGGCACAAGGACAAAACGCCATTCAAGAGGAGTCTTTTTCTTGAAGGAACAAAAGCTTGGCCAAACAGAGTTCCCCTGCCACATCGTTCCATTACAGTGCCAACCCATTGCGCAAACAACTCTGAAGGAAGAGGAATTAAGACCTTCACCTTGTCAGTTACAGTCCATAAAAAAACCCAGTAGGTTCTGTATGTAGCTAAAAACAATTATCCCAGTGCAATTGAAGTGTGAAAAAAAAAATTCTTTAAAAACAGCCAGTAGCAGAAAAAAAAAAAAAAGTCAAACATTTGTAAACAAACCCTTACCAACACCCCTATACATAATAACAAAACTTCCACGCTTCCTGAAAGCATTAAATACATACAAGAGTGGAATTCAGATACTTAGTATCTGAAACAGTGTTACCGGGAGCAGATACAATTTGGCATCATCACAGGGTGTTTGCAACGACTCTCGGGGCCATCACGGAGCTGCAGAGGGCAGGCTCTCCAAATGCTGTCTCCGAGCTGTGATCCTGGCACAGCGGGGGCACCTTGAAGACTGGAAACACTCTTTGTGGAAGCAAGCCCTGCACCCTGCGAGTGAGGAAATCAGTCATAAGCAAATGCACTCCTTAATTTCGCACATACCTTATGGATGCTTGTTCCCATCCTGGGGAGGGAGGAAACCGAATCGACTATCTCGGGACTATCAGTCACTCAGCAGCTCCTGGCTGTGAGGATCAGGAACTCAGTGGGAGTGGCTGATGCTACATGCCTCCAGCTCAGCCCCAGCGCTAGTGACAGTGCCCCTAATCTTAACTTGGTGGCTGATGGTTCTTGCTAAATGGCCTAAAAGAAGCTAAATGCTTCTCTGGAAATGGCCCTAAAGGTTCTCAATACCTTCCTGATGCTGCAACCCTCTAATACAGCTCCTCATGTTGTGGTGACCCCCAACCATAAAATTATTTTCGTTGCTACTTCCTCACTGTAAACTGGCTACCGTTAGAATTATAATGTAAACACCTGTTTTTCCAATGCTCTTAGGCGACCCCTGTGAAAGGGTCTTTCTGACTACCAAACGGGTCTCGAACCACAGGTTGAAAACCACTGCTCTAAATGGGCAAAGCTGCTTCAGCCAAGGTCACTCTCTTTACTTGGCGTCAGCCTGTATCTGGTGACTGCTTGCTGTGGAGTTGGAACAATGCTGAAATGCTACCCACACTGCTGCCCAGAGTCCCGGGAGACTGCTCAGGGCTCCTTGTAGCCCACTACTGCTCAATATTTCTGCCTGCCCAGGTCTGCTGCCTTCACATCTCCACAGATATTGAATCCCTTCTGGTCGGGTTCAAGTCTCTTTTCTGGGGACCCGTCCTGCAAGACTAGGGAATCCTAAGAAACCAGGTGAAGACGGGAACCCCCCCCCCCAAAAAAAAAAACACCATTCCTCCCATACAACAGAATTTAGAGAGCACAGGATTCTCTCAGCAGCCCCAGCTCTTAAGAGACAAATAACTGGGCCTAGGAGATAGCTCAGTTAGTAAGGTGTTTGCCGCATAAACATAAGGACCTGAGTTCAATCCCCAGAGCCCATATAAGAAGCCAGGTATGGTGGTGCTCGCCTGTAACTCAATGTTACGAGACAGAGACAGGAGGATCACAGGATGTGGGACAGCCTAGCATAACTGCTGAGTTCTAGGCCAGTGTGAGACACTGTCTCAAAAATCAAGGTGGATTGTGCCTGAGAAATGACACTCAAGGCTGTCCTCTGGCCTCCACATATGTATACATACTAGCACACACACACACACGAGCCAGGAGCAAATGTTTTAGGCCCTGGTCTCTGTAACAGCGAATCCACTCTCTGCTATGGTCTTAAAACAGAGATAACCCCTCAATGTTGGGTGGGATTGAAACAGTTAAAACCAGTGGTGGCAACAGTCCAAACTGGGACCATCCTCTTCACCCAAAACCCCGAGCAATATCATTCTTTATCCCTGTCCTGCAAAACATTCCTCGCTGTGGGCCCCAAACTGTACTGTCTCCATCCAATCCACCCTCAAGAACACCCAGCATCACTGCGCTTAAAGACACAACTGTAGTTAAGACTGAAGGCGGTGGCTTGAATGAAAAACGGCTCCCATAGTGCATAGGGAGTGGCACTGTTAGGAGGTGTGGCCTTGTGGGAAGAAGTGTGTCACTGGGGGAGGGGAGGGGCTTGAGGTTTCAGAAGCTCAAGCCAGGCCCAGTGTCACTCTCTTTCCGCTGCCTGCAGATCCAGCTACGTCTCCACACCCTGTCTGCCTGCATGCCGCCGTGCTTTCCACCATGATGACAATGGACTAAACCTCTGAGCTGTGAGCCAGCCCCAGTCTTCCTGCCTATCCACATGGGCATGGTGTCTATTCACAACAATAAAACCCTAACTAAGGCAGTGAGGTATTAGTCTGTTGGAGTTAGTACTGTGGTTACGCTATTAGGCTGAAATTAACTTTGCAATTAGGTAAAGCAGTTACGAAGGTGCTGTTATTGAAGTACCTGAACATCTGGCACAAGTCGTGGTCTGAAACGGGAAGATGACAGCTGTGCTCCGGCAAAGCTCACAAATGAAGCCCTTCCCCTGGCACAGCTGCAAAAGAAGGCATCTGAGGCCACAAGTCAACACTGATTCTTACGGTAGGAAAACTGGGCTACCATTTACACAGGACCATAGAAGCATTGGTTTTTCAACGTCTACAATTTTAGCCTTTAGGAGGACAGATCAGAACAATAACGATAACAAGGACAAAAGCCACATTCCACAGTGGCTGTGTCAGGGCAGAATGGGCTCCTACAGGGTACAGGCATTCAAACCAAAAAGCTGCAGGCTGCCATCTTGAGTTCCAATGGGATGTTGTTGTTAGCTAATGCAGGGCTGTGATTTCAGTGCTCTCCATGCTCAGGGCTCTGAAAGCCACGTGTGATCAATCAAGTGAGAAACGCCTCCCTCCCGAGATCCTGGCTCTAAGGAGTGAACCTGCCCCCAGGGGAGCCCTCACCTCACAGCTGTCCACATGGGCAAGAGAAGCTCTCAGGATGTCCTTGAACAAGGGTGCCAGCAGTCCTTTCTTGGTCCTGAAGAGGTCCTCCATGGAGAACAGGTGGCACTCATCAGTCAAGTGGCTGGGAACCTGCTCAAACTCCTTCAGCACACTACCAGAAAGGAAACAATTCCCTAAGCTGTCTATGCTCTTTTTTCCTCCAGTTGAAAGCTCTCTTGGGGCTAAAGTGCTTGCTGTGCAAGAAGAGGACCCATCTCCGGATCAGCCGTACCCGCACAAAACCTGGGCACTGCAGTACAATCCCAGTGCTGGGGAGGCAGAGCCAGAGGGTCCCCAGGGCTCTCTGGAGCCAGCCAATTGGCAAATGAGCTCCAAGCCAAGTGAGAGACCATGTCTCAGAAACTAAAGTGAACAGGGCATGCTGGCACACGCCTGCAATCTAGCACTCGGGGAGGCAGAGGCAGGCAGATCTCTGTGAGTTTGAGGCCAGCCTGGTCTACAAAGTGAGTCCAGGACAGTCAAGGCTACACAGAGAAACCCTGTCTCAAAAACAAACACAAACAAGCAAATAAATAAATAAGGTGAGGCCTCTTGAGGAGACAGCCAACATCAATCTCTGGCCTCCACATGAACACAAACATATGTCCACACATGCACACACAAGCACACAAGTATATATGTATATCTATGCCTTTATAAATAATGCATGTGTGATGTAAATTTAGCTATTATCCTATTACTGAGCACCTGTTAGATTTCTATGTTATTTCTTATTTTAAACTTGAATCTTGACTACATTTCTTTCCATCTCTGTAAGAATATCCTTGGGGTAAGCTTCAAGAAATCGTTTCTGGAAGCCATGCTGTCATGAGTAGCGTGACTTGCATCCTGCCTCTATGTGAGGCCATGGGGGCCCTCACAGAGCACTACTCACAGGCGGCAGAGGCAGCGCCTTTTCCCTCACTGGGAAAACTGGAAAATCACTACACACACACACAGCGGATACTACTCCGCCTTCAAAAGGAAGGGAGTCCTGACACGTGCTGCAGTGAGGATGGACCTCGAGAACATTTGAAGAGAACGGTGCAGTGATAAAAAGACACACCTTCTATTATTTACGTACATGAGGTGCTTAGAGTGGTCAGATTCATAAGGTGGGCTGTCAGGGGCCAGGAAGCAAGAGGAAGGTAAAATGGTTACAGAGATTGGATCTCGCAAGAGCTAAAAAGTTCTACAGATGGATAGTGGTGGCGGCAACACGATGGAAACACCTTCCATGTCCATGAACTGTGTACTTAAAGCGGCTGGGAGGATGAGGCTCTATTACATGGGTCCATCATTGTATTTACTATATATACATTGTATCTATAGTCTGACTGGATGAGGTATTTACTTTTATCCTTGTCCTTTTTTTTTTTTTTAACTCTCTTTTGTTTGTTTCCTTCAGCGCCAAGGGTCAAGAATAAAAGGTTCTAAGAAGCCAGAGATACTGGGGGAGCCAGGACCAGGGAACACATACAAGGTGGGTGTGTAGAGTGTCCCGGCTGGGATTCATACCTGTTGGCAAACCTGCAAGTCTTCAAAAGTTTCTTGATGTGAAAAAGTTGCTCCTGGATGTCCTAAGGCAAGAAGCCAACCGGAGGGAATGAGATGTGTGGCCAAGGACATTGGCAATGCGCTCAAGAAACGTTATTTGAAGTACTATGCCGGCAAGCAAAAACAACTTCCAAACAAACAGCCCCTTCAGCAGGAGCTCATAACTGAATCTTTCGGTCCACAAGCCCAGAATAGACACAGGTTTTGAGGAGCCTCGGAAAGAGCCCACCCAGGCAATAGGCTCCAGGATCATTAACCCCACAGTCTTTCTGCCTTGTGGAGAGTCTGGGAACACTCAGAGTGACATGCATTTCCTACCATGAGACATCTAACCTCCAGGACTCACTTCCTCATCCATGGAGGCATCAGCTCACCTTCACCCTATCCAGTTCCTTGGCTTTTGTGTAGAGGCTGTGATGCCTTCCCAACAGGTTGAAGACAGGCTGGTGCCATATGCTGTCCAGTAGCCATTTAGAGAAATTGCTGACTTGGTACTTCCTGAAGTCCCACATCCTCAGGATCCGCGCAGGGATAGAGGACTCTGCAGATGAATGGCAGCTGTCACAGAAGTACTTCCCCAGATACTCACAGTACCGGAGCCGCTTCACAAACTCTGTAGAGGGCAGGAGGGTGACACGGTGTTCACGATGCTAAGAATCTGCCCTCAGCCACCTCCCCAGTCCTATGCAAGGTTCAGACTCAGATGAACATTCACAGTGCTAAAGCCAGATCCAACCACCAGGCAGCACAGCTGTGGCACTGACTCGGGAATTCCACTGTAGCCATTCGTGGCTTGCTTGGTGAGACAGATGCCAGAGAAACAGACTCCTCCCCCACACTCTTGGACAAGGAAGATGAGCACAGAAAACTGCACTGTAGCAAGAACCACCTGTGCTGGGACCTGGAAATCTAGCTGAGTGTTCGGGTGCTATCTATCTGCTGCCTACAGGAGCTCCAACGACAGCTCAGAATAACAGGCTAACACAATGCAGCACAGAACCAGGTTCAGAGATAGCCCACATATGAACAGCATATTCTAAAGCAGTGCATGCACGGTGTTAGAGCATAGCCTACAAAAGATATATAGTGAAATCTCCCCTAAACCAAGAGTACAAAGGGTATGGTACTTTGTATGCCACTCCAGGGAGGCCTCTGACCTGTAACCTGCATCTCTGATCAGCCCTGGCTAGATAAAAAGAGACAGGAGGACACAGGAGACAGAAACTTCTTCCTGATATAACCCACCTTCCCCTAACATCTAAGTCCCCACCATCTCGGGATCTATTCGCGTGTTCACCAAACTTTGTTGAATGCCCACTGTGCTATCATCAGCACAGAATAAATGGTGTCCATCCCTCTTCCTAGGACCATGAGGATAGGAAAAAAAAAAAAGGAAGGTTCCTAAAACAGTGGCTGCCAGCCAGGGTGGCTTTGTCCTCTGGGGACATTTAGTCCTCTGGGGTATCTACAGCCGGTTCAGTTGTCACTGTTTGGAGGCTGCTAGGGGCAATCAAGTAACACAGCAAAAAAACCTCAAACACATGGGGGCCCCCCAACTCATCAGAACTCGAGTTGAGGAACCCCCTCCAACAGCTGTTTTCTATCTCATGCCATCAGTGACATGAAAAACGATTCTGGAAATGCGTTGTCCAGCAAAACCTCTTAAAGATGTGGAAATACACTGCTGTGCTGCCCAATACAGCTGCCACGGGTGACCTGGGTTCCTGAGCGCTGAAAGGTACTGAGTGTGACTAAGAAACCGAAATCGCTAAATGGCTCCCAGAGATGATGACATCAGACAAACCTATGCTGCACCTACTCTGCAGTGTTTTCCTTTTCTCCGTCTTCTTTCCAAGCCACTGGCCCTTTGCACATGCTAAGCACCCCACATCCTGGAGACAATCATTTAATGAAACCTCTCATTCCCCTCTCCACCTCCATCCCGGATTAAGTTTCCCCAGTGTAAATTCCACAGCAGTCTTGCCTTCCACCTTCCTTATCTTGCTGTCCAAGGTAAAAAGCAGATTCCATGAGGGCAGGCCCTGCAAAATTCCTTGCTATGTTGATAGCATTTTGAATGATCTTAGGAAGGTACTTAGTGATGGGTGGACAGTCATGTCTATGTGGTGTCTGACTCATGCATTTAACATTTAGGATGACATTAGGAGGTACAGATGAACTAACGGACCTTCTCGTTAGGCTAGCTTCATTTCAAGAAGACACACCATGATTGTGTACGCAGTGAGATAGAGGAAGCCATGGTTGGTTCTGCTTTCAGTCTTAATGTCTTGAAATAAACATCTTCTCTTAGAGAACAAGCAAGCCCCTGGCTCAGCTGAAAATCTTGCACGGTGCCTCTTGGGGAAGTCTTGTTTGAAGGATCTTAGCCATGCCAGAAATGAGTCACCATGTCCTCAACTCTCAGAGAAGCCTTGCCAGGAGCCATTTGTTGGCTCTGTGGGTGTGCCTACGTGACCATCTTTTAAGTGTTACAGCCTTAGAGGCTGGAGGTGAAACAATGAACAAAATCAACAATGTTTCTGACTTCATGGAATTTATGGTTTGGTGATAGAGACAGATAAAAATCTGTAAACAAAACTAAGAGGGATGCTATGATGAGAATAATCAGTAAAGAGGATGGTTGCATGAAGCAAGCACACACAACTGCCTGTGACCAGATGGGCAGGTTCTACAGCCATAGACGTTTCAGGGGAGAGAGGAGGATTAGAAGAGGGGGTATGAAAAAAGAGAGGAAGAAGAGGAGAGGGGAGAAAAAGAGGATAAAGATGTGAAGGAAGCTAAGAGTCATAGGGAAGTCCATGGGAAGGCATTCTAGGAAGAGAATACAATAGGTCCAAACCCCTAAATCAAGAATGGTTGGGTTCTTCAATTGCCCAGTGGAGAAGCAGCCGAGATGCGGGTTCTCCTTGCTCCTGGCTAGTCGTTCTGCTTTATAGGTCCTGGTGGCCTCCTAGTGAAAGACAGTGCTACCTCCACAAACCCTTTACAACACACTCACACCAAAGCGTTACACAGCCCAGCTCTGCTGACTTTAACTCCATTGCCACGGAGCAAGCAAGCAGTGCAGGACCCATACTTACTGGGCTGTATCGGAGTTCCGCATCCAGCACAGAAGAAATTCTGGGCCACTACTGCTATGTCCCTTCTGAGGACAGAAAATGGCAACCGTTACCCGAAATCCATTACATACTCTCAGAACAAATTACAATTAAACTATTACGTACACACAATATGTATGGCCACATATATACACACTATATAAAGTTAGCTCCTTCTTGTATAATTTTAGCTGTCTCCAGGCCTCCGTGATTTCATGGAATAAAGATTTTATTTGCCTCCTGTTACACTTTTCAACTACAGGCAATCTCCTTAAAATTAAATTTTTTCTATTAAAACTTTTATGCATTCATTGTTTTTAATGGCACAATAACTAGAAGGGTCTCGTTATTTTAAATCATTGCATTTTATTTTCGTTTCATCATTAGCTGCTTAAATCTTCTTGAGGCCTAATTAATCTAGAAGTGCTATCCAATGTTCATAACTGGGGAGACAGAGGTACAGTTTGAACTTGAGTACTTACTTAGCACCCCCAAAGACCGCAACAGAGTGCCAAGAAAACTAAGCCAAAACCACATTTTTCCTTTTCCCCTCAGCACATTGTTTTTCTTCGTCTCCTTCCACAGAAATCAAGTGTACCCATCACAACATATCCCCAGTAGAACCTAGGGTTCCAGGCAGTACCCCATCCTTACTTGACTGGCGGATGAACAGTAAGGATGACCTGGCATCCGGGTGGCACCCAGTCTTCGGTCCCTGGGGCTCTAGACTTAAGCATGATTTCCTGTGTTGCCTCCACACTGGAGTCAAAGTCTTCCCCAGCATGCTCTTCGTTCCCAACCTGCATGGCACACACGAGAGGATTCAGGGGTGACCTCAGACACCCACATTGCAGGTGTTTAATTGAAGTGGGCTCTTGAGTGTGTTTCCCATTCAAATTTACCACCAGAAATAGAAACTGTTTTTAGCTGAACTAACGGTCTTAGCACAGGCCCCTTACTTCCCACCGTGCCTACTTTTTAATTGTTTTGAATGACTGTACATGTGAGGACCGAGAAGAAGGTGTCAGATGCCCTAGAGCTGGAGTTACACGCAGCTGTCTGATGTAGGTACTGGGAACTCTACATTCCGCGAGAGCAGCAGCACTGAGCCTGAGCCGCCTTTTTAAAGTATTTTCAGCTCATTTGTTTCCAGACTTCCCACGTGATGAGACGGGCTCTTTGACCATGGACATGTTGTGATAGAAGCAGCATGCGGTGCCTAAAGCGGCAGACAGTCAGAGCCTTGGCAGAACCCTAGCTTACAAAGCTGAACACCTACCTTGAAATCACACACTTCCCCATTGTCATTTAAAATCCAGACTCCTCTCATCAACATCCTGAAAACCCCACAAATTGGCGGCTATCTTTCAAGCACCTTCCTGTGAAACACACACACACACACACAAACACACACACACACACACACACACACACACACACACACACACACACACTGCTCACCTAGGCTCCAGACCCTTCCATTTGTGTTTCAACGGCTCTTGCTAAGAACACTTCCCCGCAGACACTATCTACCCCAGCAATACCTAGCTAACCAACACCTGCCTCTGGATCTAAGCTCTCCAGTCACTCTTCCTAAGTTCTTCTGACACAATTAGATGTCTGCCCATCCTGGTCCTTCCAGGGTGATTTTTTTTCTCAACCCTTCTTTTAGCATTTGCTATTAGGGTTTTTGTTGATGTCCTTCCTCCTCCTCCTCCTCCTCCTCCTCCTCCTCCTCCTCCTCCTCCTCCTCCTCCTCCTCCTCCTCCTTCTTCTTCCGGAACAGCATATTGCATGCAAAGTCCTGTGTGTGTGTGTTTCCCATCTCTCAGCTAAGAGGGACATCTGCATCGCCACTGCCCTGCCCTGCTAAGGTCTGGGCCCAGCACTTAAAATAAGAGTAATAAGAGTGAAAAATGAAATGTCACCTCAGGATACTCGGGAGGACTGCAGCATTTTAGCAAGCCTGCAATGCCAGCACTAGGAAGGCTGGAGCAAAAGGATTCTGTAAGTCGGAGACATAGCAAGACCTTTTCCCAGAACAGTTAACAACATGATGCGACTTATTCACTTATTCTCCCTGATATTGAACAAGGGATCACAGCCATTTTGAGACCTCTGAACATCTATAGCCAGAGAAGGAAACAAATATTTGAATCCAGCCGTGTAAGTGAGAAATTAAGAACGTCGGCTCCCACATCGACTGACTTCCACACTTACTCCTGAGCTGGCTGCTGTCACGGAGCCTGGCAGCCGATGGAAACTGACTTCTGACAGCATCTGGCACTTCCAGAATTCGTGGAGCAGCTTTCTGGCTAGCAGCCCAGCGGGACTGAAGTCCGACTTGCCAGTTACACTGAAACACAAGAGAAACGAAAAGCTGGACGACTGTGCGTAGGGAGTTCTGCCAGCAGCTTCGGCGTTTCAACGACTGTGTGAGACTGACTGTCAGGTGCCAGCTGGGCATCTAATGCGATACAGTTCACCCATGACCAGCAACCAGAGTCTCTCGTTTATCAAGGGTACCGAGACCTGGGGTGAGGTGAAAAGAGCCCTGGACATAAAGTCTGAAAACCAGACTTCACGTCCTTCTCCTGATGTTTAATAGCATTACAGGGGTGGCCCATCCTTTAATCTCAGCACTGTGGTGGCAGAGGCAGAGGGGCTCTCTGTGAGTTCAAGGCCAGCCTGGTGTAAAGTTCATAGTGAGACTCTGTCAAGGGGTGGGAGCACTGTGACAATCTTTTATAAGCCTCAGTTTTCATGTGTATCAAACAGGGTTTTATATATACATGCACAGGAGCTGGAGAGCTGACTCAGTGGTTAAGAGCACTTGTTGCTCTTGCAGAGGACCAGGGTTTGGTTCTAACATGTACATGGCATTCACAACGATCCCCCCAGGAGGGGGATCATAGTCCCTTCTCCTGACCTCCAAGGATACCTGGCATGCATATGGCACACATACATACACGCAGGCAAAACACTCATAAAATAAAATAAATCTAAGTTTTAAAAATAAGTGCACAAATACATATGTAAAACTGCCCAACCTCCCTGTGAGGTTAAATGAGGTCATATACAAGAGCACAGAGTCTGTGCATATGGCACAGGGTGATGTTGGGGGTGCTGTGCCTTAAATGTGGGCAGTGTCGTCCAAAGGTCCTGATGCTAAAGGAGTGGATGATGGAAGCTTGGGGAGGCGGAACTTAGCAGGAGGTCTGTAGATCATGGCGGGCGGGGACGGTAATTACAAAGGATGATGAGAACGTGCCCTCTTACCGCTGATTCTGCCTTGATGTTCTGAGACACCCTGCCCTCACAGTCAATGAACGGATCATGTCTTTGGGCCTCCAAAACTGAGAGACAAATAAACCTTTTTTCTCTGTAATTTACATGTCCCAGGTATTTTCCCATAGTGAACAAAAACTCCTGTTCTAGAGGTGAGTGGCTGACTTCTAGATGATAGTCTTGTCTTAATTTCTTTTCCTGTTGCTGTGATAAAATTATCTGACAAAAGTATCTTAAGGAGAAAATCACTTGTGCACATAAAAAAAAAAAAGATTTTTAAATAAGCCTCAGGGGAAAAATAACTTAAGGGAGAAAGGATTTGTTTTACTTTTTTTCTAATTTTTACATTTTTGATCTGTATAACATTTCTCCCTCCTCTTTCCTCCCTCCCTGACTAATTTACTAAACCAGCATAAGCCCTAACAACAATCTATAAAATATATATCCTTATACCCAAAGATGGGTGTAGTCTCCACCCCTCATCAAGGAAACTTCTCTTTGCAACAAAGACTACACAAAACCATAACCAATCAGAATGCAGAGCTGTGGAGCCCAGTCCCAGGGGACACACCTACAAAACACTCCTGCAAGCAAGGCTCAGGGAACACTGCAGAAGAGGGGGCTGAAACTTGTTAGAGCCAGAGGATCAGGAGTTTGCTGTGAGACTGTGTCTCCTAGTGATATCGGAAAGGAATGATTTTTAGCTCACTCTTAAAAGGATAACCCTTCATGATGGAGAGGCCAGGGCACCAAGAGCTGAAAGTAGCCGGTCACATGACACAGCAGTCAGAAGAGAGCGATGAACACAGGCATGCTAGTGCTCAGCTCTCTCTCCCCCTGCCCAGAGGACAGTCTCACCTACAATTAAAATGGGTCTTCCCATCACATCAGTTAGCATAGTCAAGATGATCCCCACAGGCAGGCTGGGGTGCCCAACTTTTAGGTGATTCTGGATTCTGTCGATCTGATTAGCACTAGCCACCAGGAATCCCCATTTATGGCTAGCTAGGCCACAAATTCTGGTATTAGTGACATAGTGTGCACAGTGACACCAAAGAAACCCCCAGGGGTTCATGGCTGTAAGCACAAGAAGACAGATACCTTTTTAAAAAGTTGTAGAAGCGTCTGCAGCCTTCCATGATGTCATTGGATTCCTCAAGCTCTGTGGGAAAATGAAAGGAAGGATCATAGGGCCTTTTAGCCCACCTCACTCAGTTAATTTAATAAGGATACAAAAATAGGAAGTCTCTGCCTTCAGGGAACCTGCAGGGGCTAACTACCTCCAGACAGCACTGTAAGACTCCAGATAACCACCAGAGATGGGATTTTGTATAAACTTCATCAAAATAGCACATCAAAACCACACAGCAGCTCTAATGTCTGTCTGCGTTCTTGCTCAGGCCTTATTTTGCCATAGAATCTCTACAGACAGAAAGGAAAGCCATACTCCCTGACCATGGGTTGTGAAGAGTTAATAGATGAATGGTGCAGGCATGTTACTTTAGAAGTTAACTATGCCCGCCTCGAAGCTGGAGATACAGTTTACTAGCAGTGGAGAAAAGGGGGTGTTTTCAAATTGTACAGAAATAGTGTTAAGTCAGGGGATCTGGGAACCCACCAAGTAGGCAAGTTTGAAAGGTAACAGAAAGACCCTTGTAAGAGAGGCTCAGGGCATAAAACACAAGTCTCTCAGGGGCATCATCAGCCTGGAGAAGCAACTGATAAAGATAAAATCTGCCAGAAAGTAAATATGGTGCCTGGGGCTGAAGACAGGGCTTGCTTTAGGAAATGGATGCAAACTGTCATTGCCAAGTGAGACGAACAATTATTAAGACATTCGAGACAAGGCAAACAGCTTTTCCTTTGAGGAGCAGAGACAAAACCTCATCCTGGGGAGCTTTCCCCAAATGTCCCTGACATGATGCTTCTGGTATGTGTGTGGTATGAGGGAGCTGGACGCCAGGAGGTCTCAAATCTCACCTAACATAACCAAGTTATGTTTGCAGGCCTCTCTCTCCACAGGAGAGTAGGAAAGTTTCTCAGCCACTGGGCTGAGCTAGAACACAGCACACCCTAAAGAAAGAAGGAAGATGGATTTTATCATCAGGAAGCAAGACTGGGGCTGGAGAGAAGGGGCAGTCAATAGCCCAACTGCTATGCACCCGCGAGGACCCAAGTTCAACTCCCAGAACTGACAGAAAAAGCTGCTTGTGGTAGTTTGAGCTTGCAATCCCAACACTGGAGTGGGTAGGGGTAGCTGGATCTTGGGGGCTCATTGGAGTCATCCTGGCCTGATTGGAGAGTTCCAGGCCAAGTGAGAGAGTTTGTCACAAAACACAAAATCAAAAATGAGGGAAAGTTCCTGACATGCAAAATTGTCCTCTGAACTAGACACACACACACACACACACACACAAGTACACACCTGTTTAAAGTCATATACATGCTGGGTGGTGGGGGTACACACATTTAATCCTAGCACTTGGGAGGAAGGCAGATTTCTGAGGCTAGCTTGGTCTACAAAGAGAGTTACAGGACAACGAGGGCTATACAGAAAAACCCTGTCTCAAGATAGATAGATAAACAGACAGACAGATAGATAAGTAAATAAACACATGCACATGAATACCACAACAGACAAGTAGCTCAAGAGTAACCACCCCTCCCCAGGCATGCACAAGGCCCTGGGTTCTATCAAGATATTGTAAGGAAAAAAAAGTGATCTTAGGTGTGATGAGGCCCACCCACAGTATCAGAACTTGGAAAAGGCTGGAGAACTGCATGGTCAAACCAGTCCGGGGTATATAGTAAAGACACTTTTGAAAGAAGAAGGGGAGAAGTAGGAAGACAACAAGGAAGAGGAGGAAGGAGAGGAGAAGGAAGAGAAAGAAGAGGAGGGAGGAGGAGGGAACGGCACAGTCCCCAACTGACAGATATTGCGGGGCGGCAGGTTCTAAAGCTGCAGGAAGCTAGTTTAGGACCTCTCAGTCACTGTAATTAAGTGAAACAGGCTGATGCAATCTGTCTACTTTTTAGACATGTTTGAAAATTTCCCATCATAATACAAAGTTTAAAATAGAACTAAAGAAGGCTTTATAAAGAAAAAGAAAAGACAGTGCCAGCCTTGCCATGAGATACATAGCACAGGACACATGATTACCCTGGCTTGAGTCACGACCCTCCAAAGTTCATGTCCACCTAGAACATGTGAAGGTGGCCTTATTTTGCCATAGAATCTCTACAGACAGAAAGGAAAGCCATACTCCCTGACCATGGGTTGTGAAGAGTTAATAGATGAATGGTGCAGGCATGTTACTTTAGAAGTTAACTATGCCCGCCTCGAAGCTGGAGATACAGTTTACTAGCAGTGGAGAAAAGGGGATGTTTTCAAATTGTACAGAAATAGTGTTAAGTCAGGGGATCTGGGAACCCACCAAGTAGGCAAGTTTGAAAGGTAACAGAAAGACCCTTGTAAGAGAGGCTCAGGGCATAAAACACAAGTCTCTCAGGGGCATCATCAGCCTGGAGGAAGCAACTGATGGAGATAAAATCTGCCAGAAAGTAAATATGGTGCCTGGGGCTGAAGACAGGGCTTGCTTTAGGAAATGGATGCAAACTGTCATTGCCAGCTAGCATTTATTGCCAGCTTTGGTGCCCTTCCTCTAGAACGGACTCCCTGGGTTCCCAGCTGCCCTTGCTTAGTGACCAGGCTGTGTCTCACCTCTGCAACAGTGTTATTTATCTGTCTCGCTTCCCTGGCCCCAGCTCCAGCACATCAGCTTTGCAGACAGTGTTTTTGCCACCACTGATTCCTAACACCAAGTACATGACAGCCTCATTATTTGCTAAATGGATAAAAGAGGACCACTTGGGTAAAGAGAAATGAATGGGGAAGAGAGCTAGGAGGATGCTAGGTGATAGAAAATGAAGCATTGCAGAAGATTACAGCAATCCATGAAAAGGAAGAGTGAAACCCAGGGAAAAACAAAACAAGAACTGTCACACTGGCCGAAGGATTGAGAGCATGAGCTGTGATCACAAAGCAAAACAAACAGCCTCGGTAGGGACCATTCCCATGGGTTCAACCTTTTCACACCACAAAGTGACATTATCACTAATGAAGTACACGCCAAAGACCCTCAAAATTTAGTCACTGAAAATAACACATCTCTCTCTCTCTCTCTCTCTCTCTCTCTCTCTCACACACACACACACACAAGCACACACAAATTTCATAATGTTCTAAGTTAGCTTCTCATTTGGAATTGAGTCATATTCATGGCTGACCTGGGGTGCATGTCACTAACAGGCCATAGATTGACTACATCTTCAAAGGGCTAAAAAATATCCCTCTTTCAGGACTGGACAGAGGACAGACAGCATGCATGGCGATCACAGCAGTGTTCAAGCATTTTCCCAACTTGCCTTCATGGCCACGGTCCGAAGAAGCGGAGGACCCTGGCTCCTGCTTTGCATGGCTATAAAAGGTCACCTCAGCATCAGTCTGATCGTTCCCATGTGACCTGCTGGCTTCTTCTGTGGCCCAGCTCTCTGGCCTCTGCCGACTCAGGAGGCTGCATTTCGTGTTCTCCATTACTTCGATAATCATGTCTGCAGCATAAAAGTGGACATCTTCCTGCAGGGGGAAAAAAAAAGTCAGTTCAAATAGGAGCGTAATCAACTTTTCCTTCAGTACATGGATTAGAAGCACCCCCTAGAGTGACAGGAATTAATTCATTTTTCAGGGATGGAGATTAAACGACATCACATAGAGTAGCAAGCACCGTACTACTGACCCCCATCCCCAGCCACCAAGCTGAATATCTTAGGACAGAACACCCTGAGTCGGTGATGCCCAGCACCTGGCATAGTTCATCAGGCACACAGTGCCTGAATACCTCTCCGTTTAGTGCTCCTGGCATCCTCCACTGAATTCTGAAAAGAACCCTTTGGCTGTGCCTCCTCAGGGCAGTTTCCATGGTCACATTGAGCAATGCTACCAAGAGGCTCAGACGCTCTGTGGTTGGGAAGATCCACTCACCTTTTCCACGTCAAGGGGCAGGGTGAATGTCTCTGGTGGGATGAAATTCCAAGAATGGCTTCTTTTGCTGCTCCTAGCAGCACCTGCCAACACAGCGAGTCATCAGAGGTGGAGAAAAGGGGCCTGGGGAGATGGCTCGGTCAGTAAGGTCAATAACGTGCTTGCTGGGCCAACAACGTAAGGACCGGAGTTCAATCCCCAGTTGCATCGGGAACTTGTACTCCCAGTATCGAAGAGGAGGAGGAAGCAGGACTACCTGGTCTCCTGGGGCCTGGTGGGCAGCTAGTCTAGACAAATGAGATGTCTCCAAAAGAGGGGGGAGGGTGGGGAATGACAGAGGGAGACACCTGGCCTCCCCACACACGTGCACAGAGGGGAGCACACACAGCACAAAAGAAACACACACACACACACAGGAAAAAAAAATGGGGAAAACAAGCCCAAAGATGACCTGATCAAGCAAACCCAATCATAGGGAACAAGTCTTCAGTATCATTATGGAAAAACAAAACAAAACAAAACAAAACCAATGACAAAAAAAGCAGCACAGCTCTAGAAAGATGTGGGTGACAGAAGAGGAAAGAACCTCCTGATGGACGCAGCCTCCTTCAGTCATTTCTACAGGAAACTCATGGAGTGGCTGGTGGGGGCGGGGGTTATCCTCAGAAAACCATCAGAAAGGAGAGTCCAGCAGAGGAAAGATGGTGGGAAGAGGAGCAGGCCCTGGGAGATGCCCGCAAGAAAGGGGAAAGTGGCCCTGAGAATTACAGGATCACTTCCTCAGCTCGGGGTGATTGGCCCCAAACTTCCTGTTAAATCCACAAAGTCATCTGAAAGCAACCAGCAACCAGTCCTCCAGTCATGCCCAGTCCACCGCATTGTGTCATCCGTTCGGACAGCCTCACCCGCTCCTTCCTGGCAACAGGCACCACCAAAGCAAGGAGTTCCCATCACGTAACTGCTAACTGCAGCCTTGGAGGAAAGTGAGATTTTTGTGACAGCCAGGAGAGCAGCATTTCCCTGATCTGATAAATTTAAATAGATGCTACAAATGCCCTGGGGGCTGTGGGTCCTCAGAAGCCGGACAAATGCAGGCCATCACCCTGATACCTCATGTTGAACAAAGTGGCTCGGAAATGGAAAACCAGGGACCTCCTGGCTGGGGTCCCTGCCAAACATTTTGGGGGCAGGATACAGGGCCATTCACCACTACTGCGAACCATCCTGACACTGTAATTAGAAGGCCGCTATTGACGAAACTAAATTGCTTTGGCCTGTCTTTTTTTTTTTTTTTTTTAACAAAAACAGGAAGCTGGCAGGATTTAGCACCCACGTCATAGGTACAGACCTCAGTGTGGAGAAAAAAAGCCAGATCAGGAAGATCTGGTACCCATTATGCCTTGGTCACAAATCCTCTTGTTCCTTGAGTTGAGATTATTCCGTTATAACATAAGGAGACAAAGAATGCAAAGGTATTTTGCAAATAAGTAGATCCTGTTCAAACTCTAGGACCCATGAGATTGTTTCTACAGCCTCAGGAATTGCTTCCATCCACAAGCTGGAGGCTCCATACCAGCTATTAGAGATGTGGCAGTCCGGGGAATGCCTATGTTTTAGTGGCCAATATTTGTTCTTTCTGCTGCACCGCATTAAAGGAAGAGAGAACCCGATCACTCTGGGCTTCTGTTAATTCCATGGGATGAATATCTTCACCAAACTAAAGAATCTTGCCAGGTACTATGGCTTACACCTAACATCTCAGCACTCAGAAAGTTGAAGAGGACTGCCATGAGCCTCAGACCAGCCTTCACTACAGAGTGAGACCGCATCTCAAAACAAAACAATACAAACAAACAACAAAAAAGAAACACCTTAAAACACTCATAGTTTTTAAAGGTACTGATAAGGATTGCTGGGAGAACCCTGCCTTCGTACAAAAGGGGACATAGTACCTGTCTTTGCTTTGGGGTTCATCTTGACCCATTGCTTTTCTAGGAGAAAGACAAAGATGCAAAAGAATGCTAAGTTGAAGGACTGCTTCTTGCACTAGACTATGACAAATGGGATTGGGCCTTAAAGGTCATGGTTAATCAATAGTTTGTTATAACTTGTTAGCACGATGGTTTATATGGGAAAAGGCTTCCTCCAGGAAGGCGATCCAACAGCAAGCTTACTTCTCAATCAATGACCTCTAAATCTGAAAGCTGCTCTTTACCCTGAGAACTAACTACCTGGGTAGACAAGAGAAAGATAGAAAGAGGAGGCCTGATTTGAGAAGCATTTTGCTCAGATTTGGCTGTCTCACAATTAGCCATTGAAAGACAGTAATAAATATATAAATAAATAAATAAATAAATAAATAAATAAATAAATAAATAAATACACACACATAGGCAGAGCACAGGTGGGTGACAGCTTTTGAAAGTATTTTGCAGCAAACAACAACAACACAATATTTTCCAGACTATTTGAAACAGGGCTCTACACTCACAGCATGAGTGTATAACAAAATGAAACCTTTAAAATAAAAAACAGTTTCTTGATTATCTTCTTTAGGTGTGTAGATTTCATTATGTTTATCATATCTTGTAGGTCTATATAAGCGAGTATATACCAAGTTTGTCTTTCTCCTTCTGGAATACTTCACTCAGAATGATCTTTTCTAGATCCCACCATTTGCCTGCAAATTTCATGATTTCCTCCCTTTTGATTGCTGAGTAGTATTCCACTGTGTAAAAATACCACAATTTCTGTATCCATTCCTCTGTTGATGGACATTAATCAAGAAAGTGGACACGGGTGAAGATGATCAATCCTCATTTAGAAAGACAAATGGGATGTGCATTGAATGTATGACAGGAGTCTACCGCAAAAGGCATCTGAAAGACTCTACCTAGCAGTGTTTCAAAGCAGACACTAAGACTCATAACCAAACCTTGGCAGAGTGCAGGGAATCATATGAAAGAAGGAGAGCTAGTATGATATGGAAAGGATAGGAGCTCTACAAGGACCAAATATATCCGGGCACAGGGTCTTTTCTGAGACTGACACTCAACCAAGGACCATCTATGGATATAACCTAGAACTTCTGCTTGGATGTGGCCCGTGGTAGCTCAGTAACCAAGTAGTTTTCCAAAGTAAGGGGAACAAGGACTATTTCTAACAGGATCTCAAGGGCAGGCTCTTTGACCTCCCCCCCCCCCAGGGGAGGAGCAGTCCTGTTAGGCCACAGAGGAGGACTTTGCAGCCAGCCTTGAAGATACCTAATAAAACAGGGTCAAATGAAAGGGGAGGAGGCCCTCCCCTATCAGTGGACTTGGAAAGGGGCAGGGAGGAGACCAGGGAGGGAGTTGGGGAGGGGGAGGGAATGAGGGAGCGGGATACAGCTGGAACACAGAGTTAACAAATTGTAACTAAAAAGAAAAATTAAAATTAAAATAAATAAATAAATAAATAAATAAATAAATAAATAAAAGATTAAAATAAATAAATAAATAAAATAAAAAACAGTGAGCTGAACCTCGCCTCTTACTTTGAGTGGACTAATTCATTCAGAAATTTTACTGTCCTAAGAATATGTACACTCCTTGACTCTCAGCAAGGGGAGCCCTTTCTCTTGTCTTTTTTTGGGGGGCGGGGGAGGGGTGGTTTATTTATTTTTTCCAGGACAGGGTTTCTCTGTGTAGCCTTGGCTGTCCTGGACTCACTTTGTAGACCAGGCTGGCCTCGAACTCACAGAGATTTGCCTGTCTGTCTCCCAGAGTGCTGGGATTACAGGCGTGTGCCACAGCACCTGGTGAGAGGCCTTGTTTTCACACCAAGAGGTTTTCGATAGCCTTTGGGGAGCACTGTGGCTACTGTTTTCAAATTGGCTGTTTTCTCAGCTGTATGTGCTAGAGCTGGAAGAGGTGAGGCATGTCCACCTGCAGGCACACTACTGGGCAGCCAGTTCCTTTTGCATCTGCAAATGTCATCTCCACCCACAGTGGGTTGGTTGCTCCTAACGTTCTCCCTGAAGACAAGTTACTAAGGCCAAAGATGGTTCCTGGAATGATTACTAACTATGCTGAGCTAAAATGATGACCTTCCTCTCCTCACTGGAAGGAGACGATATCCAAACTACTGACTATCACAGAGTATGGGCTGCTGATACCGTTAAATGAGCTGACTCATTGGCTTCTGGTCAAAGTAGAAGGCCTGGCAAAGACAATAGGCGGACTTTCAAGGCAGCCCAGAAAAACACATGGATGGAGAAGAATGAAGGAAGCCACCAGCTAGAGTTACCGTCATCTGCAGAAGCTGTCAAACGAAGAGACTCAGAACGGGCACTGTCCCCCCTAGGGGACAGGGAAGTCACCACAGTCTTGGGGTTTTTGAGCAGAGATCCGTGCTGACGATGAACCTCTTGCTCTTCTGGAGTGGGGGAGGAGAAGTCGCCATTCTTTCCCTCGGTGCCATGAGCAGAGCTGCTGCAGATGGCGTCAGCGGTGTCCTCTGACAATGGTGTCTCAGCCAGGAAGTCCCTGTGGGGCAAAAGCGGAAGGCCCAAGGGAGAGGGAGTGTCCACCACCACGTGTTTCCTACTGCTCCGCACTGTTGCTCTCTGGGGGCATAAGTCTCGTAGCGGCTCCTCCTGCACACACGGTGGGTTGATCCAAGAAGCTTTGTGCCTCATGAGCCTCACATCTAATTGGCCAGGGGGGTGGCCAGTGTCCAGGAGGCCAGGCAAGCCATCAGTGTCCTCAAAGGCACAGCTGGTCCCTTCACAGGCATCCACAGGAGAGTCCCGATGGCCTGTGGACTGGGACACCATCCTTCTATGTGTGGAATGAACCCGCTCAAAACCCAGCTCCCCAATGGCTGTTGTGCCACTGGACACAATCCTTGAGGTCATCACATGACCAGATGGAGGCCTGAAGACTTTGCCTGCAATGAACAAGAATCATTCCAGGTAAATCCAGAGTCCAGTCATATTTTTGGTTATACATTATTGTCAAGAAGCAAAAAACCATCATTTTCATTTATACCTCATATAAACTTCTCCTTTTATCTGCAAGCAAAAAAATGATAATAATAAATGACTAAACAGACCAAAAACAAAAGCAAAAAAAACCAAAAAAAAACAAAACAAATAACAATGGTTAAAAAAAAAACAGTAGCTGTGGGGATAAGAAACATTTTTGCAAATGTGAGCATAATTGAAAAAGTCACAAAGATCAAATAGCAATATCAAGATCAAAATAGCAATATATCAAAAGTATTAAGGTAAAATTACCATCAAATCAAAACTGGGAATGCCACGTAAAAGTAAAGATATATTTATGTCTCTTCAGGACTCGTTCTTGTCTAATCTTACAGCAAAGCACTAAAATGAAGTAAGACAAGCGCGAAAACCTTTGTGCGTGTGGATTACGTCAACTTGAAACTGTTGACATCTCTAAGACTTTAGCATTAGTTCCTAATACTTTTAAATGACGCTGTGAATCTAGAACCCGTCTTTAAGACGGTTCTGTCTGGCTGTAGCTATAGAATGTGATCATGGTTAAAATGTGGATCTGCACAGTGAGAAGCCCTTAGTCACGATCTCTCCAGGCCCAGCAAACATTTTTTTTTTACCATCCATCTTTGAAAGCAAGGTGGGAGAAAGTCCATCCAAGTCAACCTTCACACAGATGCTGCCCATCTGGGCGAGCTTAGCCCAAATGGCCAGAGCCACAGCACGTGGGATTAGCATTATGTCTCTGTGGCCAAATAGCTGAGAGAAAAGCAATTTAAGGATTTACTTGGCTCATGGCTTCAGAAGGTTCAGCTCTTGGCCACGTGACTCACGTTGCTGGGGACAGTGACCAAGTCCGTGAAGGCTGTGGGAGTGTGTGGCCAAGTCAGAGACAAGAAGGGTCCTGAGTGAGACATGCCTTTCATAGGCATATCCTCAACGCTCTGTTTCTTCCAACCAGCTCCACCCTTTCAGAGTCTACCAAAATTTGAATCCTTCAGAGGGTTAATCCAACCGGGTCAGAACCCTCATGACATAATCGTCCCTGAAGACTGTGTCACAGACACACCCAGAGGGTCGTTCTGTCCAAGCCAGGTGACAGGCACGGGTACCACAGGCAGGGGCAACTGACTGGGAGAGTTCAGAGTGGACCCCAGAGCATTAAACATCTTTGCTCTGTGGAGCTGACTTCCACGGGCACATTTCTACTTGACTTCCCCTCAGCGCCGGGCAAGTCTGTCATACTTGACATTTTCCCAGTGAACCTCATTTTAATATGCCTAAATCAGACTCTGACACCCTTCAAATGCGCTCCTCTCCTGCTTTTTCCATCCCAGGAATTTCTCAGTCACCTGGGCCCAGGATTTTAGAGCCATGTGGGACCCCATACTCCCCTAGGTCTCCATCCTTAATCCATCAGCAAGTTTAGAGCCAGCACATTCATTTAAGCCACTGTCTTCTCCCACCTGGATATCCACCTGCACAGTAGAAAGTGTTTTCTCCCTTTCTGCTTTTTACCCATCCTTAATCACAGGCATTCACAGAGACCCTTTATAAACCCAAAATGAGATCTCCAATTCCCTCAATCAAACCCCAACAGCTTCCCATCAAATCAAGAACAGAACCCACACTCCTTACCTTCTCCTTAAAGCTTGGCATGGTCCTGGCCCTGAAGACCTCTCATTTATAGTCTCAGCCCCTGTAAGCTACAACAACATAAGAGGCTTCTGGACCTTCAGTTTTCAGCACGCTGAGGGTGCAGTTCAAGTTCTGCCTGCCGTGTTCTTCCCCCAAGTGAACAGAGCCCAGCCCTCTCTTGTCATGCATGCCTTAGCTTATTAAGTACTTCCTTAAAGACATGTTTCATAACTAAAGGCACTTTCCTTGTCTCCCCCTACTACGTCACTCTGTTCAGTTTTCATCACAGAAACACTCACTTCCTGATTCTTTCCGGCTCCTTCTAGTGGGTCTTTCTCTGCCCCTGACTATAAACTCCATGACAGCAAGTGGTTTTGTCTGCTTTCTCCCATCTCATATCCCCTGTGTCTTCAGTTATATGTAAGAGCTCAATAAATGCTTGTGGAACAAATGACTATAAACAATAAATTGGAAATGAGTCAGGAGAAAAAGCCTTCTTTGATAAATGTGGTAGTTCAGTTATTGGGACACAATGGTTTTCATAAGAATAGAAATGAAGCTGGGCAGTCTTGGAACACACCTTTAATCCCAGCACTCAGGGAGACAGAGGCAGGTGGATATCTGTGAATTCGAGGCCAGCCCAGTCTACACAGCCAAGCCTACACAGTAAAATCCTGTCTTGAAAACCAAACCAAATCAAACCAAACCAACCCTCCCCCCCAAAAAAAGAATAGAAATGAACGCATGCCTCTTAAAGATATGAAAATTTTCTCACCCAATGTGGACATTGATAAGATATAAATTCAAACACACCAAAAGAAACTACATATAAACATTGTTCTTAGAAGTCTTGGGATTTCTATTATTTGAAGGTTCTGTATTGTGGGGCCCATATTTTGGAGTAACGCACATGAAGAATATATAATGTGTGGGAGCATATGTGCATATGTGAGGACACGTGCTTATGTGCCTATATCAGCCTGTGTGAACCTCCTGAAAAAACCGCGTGAGTCCCAAATCGCCACTGAGAAAACATCACAGGATGAGAGCGTCCATGATAACGGCCAGAGCTCACTACCCCAAAGTGTTCCGTCTTCCTTCCTACCTCAAACCCCACCTTCTGCTTCAGTTTCTCTTTGCCACGCATCTTCTCTTGCCCAGTAACTTTGGATTTTATTTACAAAAGAAAATAATTACTAGGGTTCTATAAAAGGCCTTAAACACAGAAACTCGGAATAAAAAGTGAAGTGTTCCCATCACTCAGAGCCTCTTGAGCCCCACAGATTACTGCTGGCCATTCCATTCCTCTCAGGCCCTTTGCAATGAATGGCCACACTTATGTCAGATGGAAAGATTTATCTTCTCTCTTAACGTACACATTGTATCTGTCTTAGTTACTATTGTGTCTCTGTGAAATGACACCATGACCAAGGTCAAAGGAAACATTTAGCTGTGGGCTTGTTTACAGTTCCAGAGGACTAGCCCATGATCATTATGCTGAAGGCAGACAGGCATGGTGCTGGGGCAGTCGCTGAGAGCTTTATGTGATTCAGAGGCAGCAGGAAGACACACACACACACACACCACACACCACACACACAGAGAGAGAGACAGAGACAGAGACAGAGAGATTGAACCTGCTGTGGAGTTTTGAAACCTCAAAGCGCACTCCCATTGAGGCACTTCCTCCAATAGGGCCTTACCTCCTAATCTTTCTAAACAGTTCCCCAACTGGTGACCAAGCATTCAAAGGTATGAGCCATTCTCATTCAAACCACCAAAGTTTCATAGTGGACACAGTCTATAATTCATCTTATTCTCTTTCAATAGTGTAGCATAAAGGTTATTTCACATTCATTTTAACTTATTTTTAAAAATCATGTATCTACCTTTATTTATTTTTTTATTGTATGAATGTTTTGCCTGCATGTTTATCTGTTTGCCATGTGTGTCCCTGGTTCGTGTGGAGATCAGAAAAGGGCATCAGATAGCTGGAACAGGATTCACAGGCAGCTGCGATCCACTGTATGGAAGCTAGGAACTAACCCCCAGCCCTCTGCAAGTATGGCCAGTGCTCTTAACCACTGAGCCATCTCTCCAGTACTTCATCTTAATTTCTCACTACTTTCTACAGTATACATGAACTACAGTTTATATAGTCAGACCCAGACCCAACAGATAAATATTTATTTCCAGCTTTTGAAATGATTTATTAATTTATATTTTTAGGTGCATTGGTGTTTTGCCTTCATGTATGTCTGTTTCAGATCCTCTGGAACTGAAGTTACAGACAGGTATGAGCTGCCCTGTGGATGCTGGGACTTGAACCCAGGTCCTCTGAAAGAGCAACTAGTACTCTTAACCACTGAGCCATCTCTCCAGCCCCCCCCCTCCAGATTTTCATTACTATAAAATAAATATCATTGAGCAACTTTGTTATAATATTTTGGCTGACTTTCTCTTACTTGTCCTTTCGCTTATCAGCTCAGATTTTAGAGTCCACAGTTCAAAATGACCCTGTTATTCCCTGGAGGAAAGAGCTATGTAAATAATTAATGCTTTACTCCCTTAATTCTCTATACATTATATTTGTTTGTATAGTGGGGAGGGAGATGATCATGTGAGTAAAAAATACATGGAAAATGAACAGTTTCAGATGGTAGAGTTACCTATGACCCGCTCAGGGTGTTTTCTATAAACAAATACACATTGGAAGTTAAGTCAGGACAACCTTACTTGCAAGCATTCTAAGAGGAACGCTCAGAACCAATGTTTGCTTTACATTTTCCACCTCACAGAAATGGCCAGCAAGTGCTGGCTTTGCTGCATTATAGAATTAGATCATATTAGAGCTGAAAGGGTCCATAGAACCTCATGATACCTAAAGTCACCGGCAAGCAACATCAGAGCAAAAAGCCAAGAGACTGAGACTAGATAGCTCATGAACCTAAGGGAATAAAGAAATACTATTGTTCTGCTAGAGAAATGTAATGAAAGGATTCCTAGCAACCTTCTGCTATATGCAACACCTGTGCACGCTACCTCAGTCTCTGAGAGTTCATACATATGTCCATCGTGTTGTGTCTAAAAGGTCTTGTTTCCTTGTCTTCCATCCCTACTGGCTCTTACGATCTTTCTGCCTCCTCTTCTGCAGAGTTCCATGAGCCATGAGGTCAGGGAAGGTGTTTTAAGATTGGCAAATGAAGGTTAAAGGGTCTAAGAAGGTATTTTATGAAGGTTGGAGGAAGTTGTATACAAATGTTTTAAGGTCGGTAATTACAAACAGTGAAAGTTAGAGGAGATAAAGACTTAAATGATAATAGAAAGTGATTTGGTTATAGAACTTTGGACTCACCAAGATAGATAGATGTTGGATACTTTCTCCAAGGTTGCCAAATACAAATGGACTGGTCATCGTGAATGTAATTCTTACCTGGTAATTTTCAATCTTTTTCATATTGTGTGTAGTTTATTATTGTAAAAAAAACCATTGTTGGACTAAAACAGGAAGATGCTGGGGGATGGTCTGTGCACTGTGTATTCAGATATTGATTTTTGTACCCCAAGATCTGGCTACAGTGCAGACATGGGCATTGCCATTTCTATTGAGGACTCTCCTGTCTCAGCATTGTGTGGAAATTGTTCTCCGTCATCTCTGATTGGTGAGTAAAGAGCTGATCAGCCTATAGCTGGGCAGGAGAGCCAGAGGGTCTCGGTAGAGATGAGAGATGAAGGCATATGTCAAGGAGAAGGAGGCCATGAGAAGGTTGCCATGAGGACAAAGGTGGAACAGGAGCAGCCAGGGCAAGACGAGAGGGCAGGTAGTGGAACACATGGCTGAGAAATAGTCCAGACCAGCCTAGACACGCTCGAGTAATTCAGTATCTGCCAGCTTAGTGCTCTCAAGCTTATTAATAAATGTAATAGGTCTCTGTGTCATTTTTTGGGAGCTTGAGTGGGTAATAGAAAAAAAAAAAACTATATTTTACACACAGGCCCTGCCTAAATCTAAGCCGGATGGAATCTTAGTTCTGAGAAAGGAAGTAGACACAAGTCCCCATCCCTAACCCCGAAGCTATCTGCAGTTGACAACTGCTTGCCAAGAAAACATTAGTTTTCTCCAGTGGAGACTCCCTGGGTATACGCAAACCACACTCAAGAGCAGGGCACGTGTCCCGTAGTAGATGGCCGACAAAAAACAAACTCAGGGGTATTTTTTGGAGTTTTTTTTTTCCCCTCATATTGCTTTGTTTGTGCACTTATTTTATCTGACTGGTCTTGTACTCATAAATTATGGTTTCTGGTTTTGTGCTTTTACAAGGTGTGGAGTTGGATTGGTGGGGTAGAGAGGTGGGGAGAATCTGAGAGGAAATGAAGGAAGGGACACTGTAATCAGAATATATTGTATGAAAAAATATTTTTAATAAATAAGAAAAAAAGACTCCCCCTCCAGCCATCTCCATCTCCATTTCCAGCTCTCCTTCTCTCCCTCACCTGAATCCCATTTTATCTAATCTCATTTAATCAAAGCACATGTAATCTATGATTAGCTATTGCTTTAGTTTCCTACGGGCACTGGCCCATCTTCAGAACTTAAAATCAGCACAATGAGGACTTGATAATTATGTTCCAAGTGGATTAATGAGAAAATGAACCAATTAATGAACAGCACTTGAGTTTAAGAACTCAAATAATTTCTGTTGCCCAAGAAAGAAAGTCCAAAATAAATGTTAGCCAACCAGCTACCAGTCCAACTTAAGGCCTATGCCACAAGAGAGAACCCTGGCGAGGAACACACACACACACACACACACACACACACACACACACACACACACAAACAAACGAACAAAAGACCTGAGAGTGAAAGATAAAGTTTTGTAATTGCTAATTGAAAAAATATGGACTAGAGAGATGGCTTAGCAGTTAAGAATACTTGTTGCTATTGCAGAGGACTCAGGTTCAATTCCCAGCTCACACCCACCCATCCGCCCAGCTCCAGGGTTCCATTAGGTATACAACACGGTGCATATACATGTATGCAAAATATTCATACA